GTTGATTATAGTGTCACGTAAATCGCGATTAAGCGAATTAAACTTGTCTGTTATGTTAGGCGTTAAGGATGCTGGTGCTGTTAACATTTCTGGAATATGAAAAACATTATGTCCACTATCAAAAAACTAGTCTGAGAAAGGTTTAAGGCACGTACTAACACAAGTACTGACTTGAAAATGAAGGTCAAAGGCACGTACGAACAAGAAAAAGGTGAAAAAAGCAATGATTCGAGCCATCCACAAATCTAAAATGGCACTCTTCCGCACTCGCGTACCGTTTGCACCGCCTGCGAAATGCGCGCCTGGAGCCTCAGCTCACGAGATCCTGCGACTGGTGCTAAGTGATACAGTTCAAACTTAAGACTGCAAAGTATAAGTGCTTGAGTTCTGTCACTCCGTCTCTCCAGCTTTGCTTGCATGAGAGCAGTGCTATTAGTTTGGCACATAAGTAATGCAGCTTTTTATATAACCTTTCTCTTTCTGTGGGCAGCGCATGTATGTTAAAGGCAGCGTCTTGGCAAATTTTGCAATTCCATTTTTTGCTGTTTTGGGCCTTCTCGACCCTTAGATCCCGAATCTGAGCTTTAAAAGGGGTGAAAAGGCCTTTTTCGGGGCGTTTTTTCAATTTCTAAAAGTCAGCTCGGACGAGAATTTTCAAAGGAAAGTCGGGAGGCCCTGGCACGAAGACCGTGCTGCCTGTAATTTTGGCTTTGTATAGCATGCACAATGCGGGAAAGCGGTTGGGGGGTCCCGCGTCCTCTAGCGGGAAGCACTCGTCCGAACTAGTCTTAGGGGAGCGAAAGAAGGAAGGGGAGCGGCGCTTGGGCCGCCCCCCTGGCTTGCAGAGTTCACATTTTCGGCGCGGAGTTGCTCTTTTTGTTCACTTGAAGGGCCTCCTATCCATCTATCTGCCGAGCCGCTGCCTTTAAAGGTGTGGGTGTTGAGGTTATGATGTGATTTACAAATGCAGCCTTTGGTGAATTTTGCCATCGTATGCGAAAGTTACGGTAATTTTACGTCGCAAAGAGAAAATATTCAGATTGCTTCAGATTTTGCTGAAACTTGGTTTAGGGAGAAATGACAGCCATTTCGCATGAAAGGGTATCTTCGGTAAGATTGATGTACGAATTTTTTACCTGCGCAACGAATGAAGGTGTCGAATTACGCGCAGCTTAGCTATTAGTTGATACCCCTCCAAATTTGACGCATTCGCGGTAAAACTTCTAGAGGCCGCCTGATAACGAACTCAAAGGCAGTGGCTCGGCAAAACCGAACACCTGGAAATTCTGGTGTGGGTTGCTTGCACCCTAAACATGAGAACTGAATAGCTCCGAGCGCACGGCATGCTGCCCTGAAGAAAACTACCCCTAAACACGTACGCGTAAGCTATTCTTAGGGAGCTTCCAGACCCCGCCAGATGCTGCATTTGCAGCAGTTAATCAATTCAATCAGAAGTCATTGATCAATCTATTTTCGCGCTTTTCGTGTCTGTTCTTCATTTGTCTGTTTTAGGTTGGTTTTGAGCTAAAAATTTTGGATAATGCTTGCTTTAACAGAACAATACATCGCCGAGGACAGATGCGTTGAGTATCGCTCACCTCAAATGGAGCTTATGGAGTGGAGTGTCTATCGCTTTTTTCTAGTTTTTGTCAAGCTTAAGTGTTGTGCTTTTCGTGAGGGATGCGGTTGAAAAAGCCGAATGCAAGTGTGAAGAGAATTTATTCAAATCCATGATGACGTATTGATACAAGCATGGAAAAACCGCATCTCACAGCAGAAATTTAACTTGAAGGTAAATACGTTAATTACTTGTGGTAATTCTTTTTTTGCGTTTAGCTCAAGTTTCATATTTATTGTGGGTGATGCAATTTTTCTATGCTTGCGTTCATGCATCATCATGAATTTGCTAGCTCTTCTAACCGCACCACTCACAAAAATGAGACTTGAGATCAATAAAAACTGAAAAAAAAAACGGAATTATCAGTCTACTTTATAAACTCCAGGTAAATAGTGAATGCTTAGCGCATTCGTCCTTAGTGACGGTGCTGCAAATCCGAAAGCAGCCATTACCCAGGGACTTGTACCTCGAAATCAGCTGTAACAAAAAAAATTAATAAAAAGATATAAAAATAGATCAATCTATCAGTTTTCGCGCCGCACGCACCAGGGATACGAGGTCTTGACCCACTGCACTTCGGCTGCAATAGCGGCAACCAGCGCGAAAGCGGCGAAAGACTGCGAAAGCGCTCCTGGCGCGGTCTGGAGGCTCCCTTACACGCACTCGGACGAGCTTGCGATTTCCTTCTCACCGTCAGAGGAGGCATGTCGCAATGTTATACCCATGAAGGTCCTGCAATGATTCTGCGGCTAAAGATGGTGGGAACCGTTCCACTCGTCCAGATTCAAACTAAGGGGTCTTGGAAAGTGCTGATTTTTGCCATTTTTGCGCTGTTCAATGGATTTTTGGATTCTGCGCCTTGAATCACTTCAGGTGAGCAAAAACTCTAGGTTGAGGGTTTGCCGAGCCACTGCCTGTCTCCAAATTCACTTCTTTCTTACTGTTTATAATTTGTCAAACACCAACAACATGCTGCCTACAATTCCGTCTTAAGGGGCTTGACAGGCTATGCACTGCTGCACATTTTGCCAGGAAACCTAAATTCTCGTTTCCAATTGTTTCGAAAACTGCTTCAATTTTCCTTATTATGTCGTTTAAAAGTTATGGAGGAAGTTGCAAAGCTTAGGCAAACTATTACATGCTGTCATTGATTACTTCGATGTCTTCTTAGTCAACTTTCTTTTTTTCAGCTGTCATATCAAAAATGCAAATCCTGTCTATAAACAACACTCACGGTGCTTGCTGGCTAAGAATCATCGTCTTGCTTCCATTTGTATGCTCAAATAACCCTTCTGTAATTTAAGCTTAACGATAACCCTGACCTATATTCCCATCACATACAATGCTTTTTGTAAAGCTTGGGAGATACAGGGTCTCCATTGCAGATGCTATTCTATTAGCATCATAGTTCCATTCTTTGTTCCTCGTCAGGCTTCCCAGTCTCTTGTGGTAAACTAACTAATTGAATGTGCTTCAATGATATCTTAATAGACTTTTTCTTGTTTCAGACAATTTTCATTAACCTTGATTTCTCCAATTCTCCTCCAGGACCAGGGCTTGATGTCCAAGAATCATCGTCAGGGCAACATGTGTGTATCCGAGGCCGTCTTCGGCAACCTTGAACGATTCAAAATTTCCAGTAATGATCAAGGTTCTATCTAACATTGTTTCTTCTCTCTCTCTTTCTTGGATGATCTTTAGGGTTCATTCGCCCTCTTCCACTTATACGTTTTGCATACTTTTACAGTTTTGAGTACTTGTGATCTGAACTCATAGCACTTCGCCGGATTTAGTATGAACGCTTCACACCTGCGTAAAAAAGAAGCGTAATATAGATAGTAACTGCTAAGGCATAGTTTCTCAATCGAACGATCATGAGAGTGATGAAGATATCCAGCTAAACCCTGTATATGAATACATATACTTATGCAAGCCGCTGCTATGATAATGGCATGAGCTAAGGGCGGGACGGCCGCACACCAGCCGCGTCTCCAATTTAAGACGCGGGCGGGCTTGAAAAACCTTCTAGACCCGCGGCTCGCTCGCTCCCGGTCTCTGAGCAGTTAATACAGTGTGTGAACTGCCAAGTTCCCATGGGTGCATCCACGTACCAACAGCGCACGCCTTCGTGCACCTCTTGTCTTACCTTCTGATGAACTCCACGCTCCTTTTTTGGCATTGTTGTCCTATGATCTCTTCATTACAGGTAAAATCAATCTATAACAAAACCGATGACGTGTTTCATGTCCCAGTGTTCCTGAAAGCTTGGGTCTATTTCTTTTTTCACTGGCATAGTCGGCTTTTGAGCGACTGTGCGAAAATATTCCTCCAAATGTTTCTTGTAGAGAACAGGCCGTTTTCCTCGGATCAGTTTGCAGCGTGTAGATGCTTCTAGTCTTCTGGTGCTTTTAGTGCTTCTAATACGTAGCCTTTTAATAGGCTCGCAGGGAGTAGGCTTTGAACAAAGCGTGCGGCGTACACCGCGCAGTCTGGCCCGATTTTATCTGAATGTAGAAATGCTGTATGCTTATGAACGAGAAAGCACCAAGCCGATCGGGTTTTGCGGCCTATGGCAAGCGGGCGAGGCACACTCTATAACAATCTTGACAACGTACCTACAGTCTGCTCCAATCGGGATCAGGCCGAAGCGTCGACATAAATTTGCACGCTCGCAGCGCTAGCGGTCTGCGCTGCATACGCGCACTGTCGCAGAGAGCGTTAGAGATTGAGGAGAGAGCAGACTGGCTAGCCGTAGACGTGACGCAATACCCTAGCGACAGGGTTTCCGCCATACCAATTTTGGCGGTTGGGATTGGGGCAGACTGTATGCGCGCTGTCGGAGAGAGCCAAAGGATTGAAGAGAGAGCAGAGAAGCAGGCCGTGGGCGTGACAGCGAAACCCTAGCGACGCGGACTCCCGCCATGCCAATTTTGGCCCGGTTAGGATTGGAGCAGACTGTATGGCAAGCGGGCGAGGCACACTCTATAACAATCTTTTCTATTAGTGCCAAAAAGAACTAGTTAAGGAAGAACCCAGAAGAACCCAGAAAAATCACCGTAAAAAGTAGCTCAGGTTATCCTCCGAAATCGATAAATGTGGTAAACGTCCAGCGTATTTGTTTTACGGCACTGACACACAGACATGCATCCTTATATACACTACAAACATTGAGCCCTTTGAAACAAAGTGCAGGATTATTAAGCTTTTCGTGTCTTATCTGCGAAATGTTCATATGAAATATAGCTCTCAAAAGTATTAAAGCAGAGAAATGGTTATTTTTTATTTTCTACCATTGGCGTAGAAAGGTTTGAGGCTTGCAGAGAGATGCCATACACACTCAGTTTCTGGGACTTTATTTTCTTTATAAATTACTTTATGACAGATTCAAACCGATATTTACCATTATGGAACGTAAAGAAAGTCTGCGGTTCAAAATTTCCCGAAATCCTCATCCTAAGAAAAGAGACAAAATGGTCATATGCACTACAGTGGTAAGCTTTAAACCTGCAAATGCCCCATTTGAGCTACAAGTTCCACCAACAAAAAGCTTGAATAATCTAATCTCTCGCATTTTTGCGAGCATTTATGAAACTGCATATTTATACCTAGGGTTTTACCTCCGCCTCCTTCACTCCTTTCTTTCACTAATGTACTGTTGAGACCCTGCATATGTTAGCTTTTTTGAGTAAAGTCTATTTTGCAGGTTAAGAAACAATCCATTTCTGATCTTCCTGATTACTTCGACAAGAAGGGACTGAAGATTACCGAAATACATATACCGTTGACGTGTACTTGATGTCAGTGTTTTCGTGCCATGATTCAAAAAATAATCACAGTCAGTACAATCGTCTAGTAATA